GACAATTTTATTAAAGAAAATCTACGAATATATCTTGACAATTTGGCGTAAAATCATCTTTATTTATTTATCTTTTTTTTGTTATTGTAGGTGCTTCAGGGTATGTATTACACATACTTCGTCTCCGTCATCACGACAATAGAGAAGCTCTTCCAAATCCAATCGAAGACAACAGGTATTATCATGTCGGCTACGGAGATCGGTCAGATCGGATCCTCCCTGTTATTGACATATTATGGCGGCCAAGGTCACCGGCCGAAGTGGATAGCCTGGGGCATGATCCTCTTCGCCGTGAGCTCGTTCACCTGCTCGATACCCCACTTTATCTTCGGCGAACAGCTGATTCGTCGACAGAACGAGATGCTGGTCAGCGGCGTCGGACCCGGCACTGAGAGCCGCGGGCCCAACGACACGGATCCGATACCGGCGAATCTCTGCTGGTTCCAGGAAAGGAACAGCACGTTAGACGGGTGAGTGCTACTGTCATAACTCTCCTTCGAGTTATCCTCTTCTATTTCTAAATTCTTAATGAGTGACGCCTCCCGACGATTCATCATAACGAAGAGAGATATCTTCATTGGCTCTCTTACCCTCGTGATTAAGTAATAGCTAACTCGACAGTCGTGAATCATCAAAAACACAGGGTATTAGAATCTATTAATCGCAGTGGTAGCAAAGTGTGAAAGGGAAATCGAATTATTCAGAATTATCAGTAATTGTTAAATTAATAGGTTAATGAATCAGTTAATTTAACAAAATTATCGGTTCTATTCGGTATTAATGAGACAATGTAGATATTAATCCACTAATTATTTAAATTCGATTTAATAGCCGTTAATGATGATTCGTATTTGTAAAATTTATTTCTCGTTTAACAAACTCAAACAACTTGCTGGTTTACTTGAGCAATCAATACAGAAGCATTTATGGTACAGTTGAAGGAAATTTATGATCGTCGCGTTATTACAATGTCTCGCGAAGAAACAAGGCGGCATGCAAACGATCAGCTGTGTTATCGTTTCGGGCGAGATTCAATAATCATTTGCCGTGATAAATAAACACAATGTAAGGCGGAATACCGCCGAAGTAATAGGTATGCAGTTTTGCCTCAAACTCGTATTATACAAGAACCGGTTTGTCGCATTTCTGCAGGACGAGTTGTACCAGCGGTTCATAATCCAAAGGCAACTAATGAAAAACGAATTGCGCGTTTTACGTTACCGCAAAGACAGCTGAACGTTTTCGGATAGAAATAGTCTCTTTATCGTTAGAAACAGTTCCGGAAATAGCAAGTAGAAAATAGAACGCGTTATATAAAAGGAGGACTGCGTTAAGACTTTCTTCAGAAGATAAATGTCTCATATTTATAAAAGATCCTACATTTAGTATGTTCTTTGAAATAATTCCAAGAGAAACTTGGCTAAAAAGTTCTAAATCGATCAAAAGATGAATAAATCTGTTTCTAAATCTTTTCGAAAGTAGTTTTTAACGAAAGGATAGAAGTGTACAAATTATACGCGTGTTAATTTTATGTCATGTATGTTATATCATTTATCATTTCTCGTAAAGAAAAAGGACTTTTATCCCTTTCATGTAGGCGTTAATTTCCTGATGTATCTCGGAAGTAGTTGGTAGAATTTTACTAAAAAATAGAAATTATCGGCAACGATAATTTAGATAGCTATATATAGTTGTGACATATTTATGCGTATAAGGTAATTTGAATAATTCAATGTGTTTGAATAATGAAATTACAAAAATCATTATTCTGAATTTATTCCTTCTGTGTATATGCTGATCGAGAAAATTTTATTGTCGATGTCAAATCTCGTAAAAGCCATTAACCTTATAATTAAATTTTATTACTTTATTTTGTAATTATGTAAGTATTAATTTTTCTAACTAGGTAATACGTTTACATCACTCTGATGTTCATTAAAATAATACGGTATACATGTGTACTATGATCGAGGATTAAGTAACTTGCGTTAATGACCAGCATATATACATCGGATTTATTGCTGTAATTATAAATACTTAATAATTAATTATATATTTTTTTGTCTTGAAGATGGAACGTATCGGCGATCGTATCCCAAATTGAATCGTCGGACTGTAAAGGCGATTTTCTTACGGAGCAAAGAAGAATACAAAGCAAGATAACTACGGTGGTGCTTGCAATATTTTTTGTATCGTTACTCGGTGTGGGAATGGGTCAAACAGCGGTATACACTCTCGGTATACCGTATATCGATGACAACGTAGCCAGCAGAGAAAGCCCCTTATATTTCGGTAAATCCTTTTTTTTATATATTAATGTAACAGATTTATACATTATAGATTAATTATTTAACTTTTAATTATTAATTTATGTTTATTAAATTCTAATTGCTAAAAACAACAATTTCTTAACATATAAATTATTTTTTCGATGTAATACTATTTTTGTAATACAAGTGAAAAGATCTACTTTTCTATGTCTGCAAATCACCGATATTTAATTATAGATTTAAGGCTTAAAAAATCATTTGATTATGTGCAACAGCAATCACCATCGGAGTACGGATTCTTGGTCCAGCGTTAGGCTTCATCCTCGGTTCCGTGTGCACGATGGTCTATGCGGATTTGTCGATAAATCCGCAGATTACACCATCGGATCCAAGATGGGTCGGTGCTTGGTGGCTTGGTAAGTTCAAATAAATGATAATATCGAAATTAAAAATAACGATTAGTTCAATTTTAATGATTAAGAATAAAGAAATATTCCCCTTACAAAACATATTTTGAGCTTTATAATATTAACAATAATCAATTTATCGAAATTATCCATAAAACGCTTAATCTTCGATTTTTAATATAAATATACAAAAAGACTTGGTTCGCTAAAAGTTACTTGACCTTCATGGTTTGAATTGTGTAGTTAGTATTACGTGACAAATCTATCTGCAATTTTTGTCGCTAGAGTGTATTAGTTAGATATCTATTAATCTCTTATGCTCGATTTTACATCGAAAAATATGTGGAATGATAAAAATAATTCCTTGAGCGACAACTGATGGCAAAAGTCAATAAATTAGTAATTCACTTTAAGTTTGTATTAAGTATGTCTATGCAATTACATTGTCCATCTGATATTAATAAAAATGTCAAGTGCCTTAAGTAATTTTATAAAAATATGTACTATAAGATATATTTATTATAACATATAATTAATAATATAGTAGGAAAGCACACCAATTATCTGAACATTGATTATCCGAATTTCAAAAATATATAAAAAATGTTCATCCAATGACTAATTTTAACTAATTTTTAAATGTAGTTCTATCTATTAATTTTTTTTTTTATTATTTCTATTTATTAATATTTCTTAGATCACTGGATTTATTTCTAAATGTTTCAGATTACATAAATAAAATTAAGATGTTCGAATTTTATGAAAATATTAGCATATTATTAGTATAGATAGGTACAAATAAAACGCACAGATCAACAAACCTCAACGCAAAAATTCATACGTGATAATATTTGTATCGTTTGTTTTGTATATTATATGACACAGTGCGGAAATAAACACAAGACGATCCTCGCAACACAGATAATAACAAATCATTCTGTGGGAAACATAACTGCGGTAAACTAAATATAGCAGCAAAGGTATCAGTACGAAGATCCAGCATGGATGTGAGAAAATTAACAAACGCATTTAAGAAAGTAAAGATTGTTGCACTTGCTAAAAATAAATCGGAATATGCAATTGCTCGTGAAATGAAGATATCAGTAACACAAGTTAGAATTATACTTTACAAGTATAAAATCCAGAATTCTTTAACTATTATTTTATCAATGATTACATCTACTGTACGTCAACAATATTTTAAACTATTAGAACAAATATTTAAAGAACGAAATGTAAAGTTACATATTAAGCAAGTTCAGATAATCAAAAATGCAAAAAATATAAAAAATGTTGTGGATATTTTTGCACTTTGCGATTCGTAAGTTAAAATACTTAATTATATAATTATAATATATAATGTGATATAATACGCGTATATAT